TTAGTATTTAACCCAGAAGCAAGCTGTGCCCAGAAATAGCACATCATTTGCTCCCAAAAACTAAAGAAGATAAACTCTGCCACATGGATTAGGAAGTGTCAGAGGCAGGTACAAATATCTCTTTTTGCTGAAAATATTGAGGATGTGTAGTACATCTAACATACAAGTGGTGCAGAATACAAGGGAGGTATGAGTTAGAGTTTTCCTTGCTTCTCTGCCTGAGAATACAAGACTCATTTTCATCCTACTAACTTTTTCTATCCTATCTTGTTGTTGTTTTGCTGTTGTTTTGGGGCTGAGTCTCATTCCCCATCACCCAGGCTAGGGTGCAGTGGCACGATCTGGGCTCACTGCAACCTCTGCCTGCCAGGTTCATGCTATTCTCCTGCCTCAGCCTCCTGAGTAGCTGGGATTACAGGCGCCCACCACCCACCTGGCTAATTTTTGTGTATTAGTAGAGACAGAGGTTTCACTATGTTGGCCAGACTGATCTGAACTCCTGGCCCTGTAGTCAACGCCTCAGCCTCCAAAGTGTTGGGATTATGGCGTGAGTCACGCGCCCAGCCCTACCCTATCTTTTGAAGGGATGGCTTAAAAACATTTTGGACATTATGGAAAGTCTGCAAACCAAGACAAAAGCAAGAATGAGAAAACTCAGCAGAAAAGCAGGAGCTCAAGGTAAAGGCGTTACAGAAAGTCAAGTTCAAGACAAATAAATTAAATAATATAAAGTGCACTCCCCAACCCGTTTTAGTACCAGGAACTGGTTTATTAGAGATGATTTTCCACACTTGGACAGGTGGGAAATGGATTTTGGAATGATTCAAGCTGTTAATTGTTTGGCCTTTATTCCATTATTATTATATTTATAGTATCTAAGCCAAATAATTCTGACTCGCCCGCAATGTAAGAGTCAGTGAGGCCGAACACGGTGGCTCACGCCTGTAATCCCAGCACTTTGGGAGGCCTGAGAGGCCGATCATGAGGTCAGGAGATCGGAGACCATCTGGCTAGCAGAGTGAAACCCCGTCTCTACTAAAAGATACAAAAAAATTAGCTGGACTTGGTGGCAGGCACCTGTAATCCCAGCTACTCTGGAGCTGAGCAGGAGAAATTGCTTGAACCGGGAGGCAGAGGTGCAGTGAGCTGAGATCCACCAGTGTATTGCACTCCAGCCTGGGCAACAAAGTGGCTCCCTCTCCAAAACAAAAAATAAAAAGAAGGAAATGAAAAAAATTATCAAGAAAAACCTGTGAGAGAAAGGTTAGCTCCTTATGTTTCCGTGGTTTAATGATTCGTCAGTATTCGAATACTAAAATAGGTAAGACTGGATTCATTGTCTTTTGTCTATCTATCTACTTCTATCACCTCTCTAAGTAACTGTATCGTATAAAGCCTTTCCAATCTACAGAGAATTAATTTCCCTGATTAAAGCGTTCATGAAAGGAAATTTAGCTATATACAGGCCCTTGAGAAACGCAATAAGTTTAGCAGAAATTATGAAGTTTCAGATTTTCTGATCACAAACAAATAATAATAATGATTATAAATGGCAAATACTCACTTGCTTAGAAATTAAAACAAAAACTATAATAAGTTTTTACAGGTCAAGAAGAAATCAGAGCCATAATTATAGGCCATTATGAAATAATGACAATGAAACAGTGTCTATCAGCTCTTACAGATACTGTTAAGTAGGAAGCGAGAGATAAATGTGCATGCAGACACTTCATTTAAACAAGAAAGTAAATAAACAAACTGCACATTCTTCAAGAAATCAAACTCCAATTAGCACTTACAAGAAAGTAAATAAACAGAGCTTCGCATTCAACCCAGAAATTAAAACTCTAATCAGCACTTATAAATGCAGGAGGTAAATAAACAAGAACTAACCATTTCAACCCAGAAATCAAACTCCTAATCCCAGCAGTTTGGGAGGCCGAGGCAGGAGGATCACTTGAGTCCAGGAGTTTGAGACTAAGTCCCAGAGGCAGCACAGTGGGACTCTGTCTCTACAAAATTTTTAAAAATTAGCCAGAGTGTAGTAGTGTACTCCTATAGTTTCAGCTATTTAGGAAGCTGAGAGTTGGGAGGATAGCTTGAGCACTGGAGGTCCAGGCTACAGTGAGCTATGATCATGCCACTGCACCTAAAGCCTGAAGTGACAGAGCAAGACCTGTCTCAAAAAAAAAAAAAAATTCCTTTTCTCAGAAACAGTACCTGGAGAGAGGAGAGAAGAGGATGGAGGCAGAGATGGACTCTTTCTGCTTATTCTGTCATTCGTTCGATCTATGTCTGCAAAGAGATGTATAGAAGGAGGAGAGGGGATAGGAGAAGTATGGCTATTTCTATAAATCTGATTCTTCATGTTTGCCCCAGCCAAACTAAGCACCCTTCATTCTTTATCAACTGGGACTATACCTTGCCTCCTTCTCACCATTCACAAGAGTAACCTAAGGTATGATTATTCAAGAGGGTTTCAAATCTAACTGTCCCATATTTATAGAACAACCTATAATTACAATTGTGTAGATACAATTCACTTTAGCTGGTCATTCAAGCTGGAGAGGACATCCTGACGAAGTTTACAAGATGATAAATGTTTCTTTCTTTCTTTCTTTCTTTCTTTCTTTCTTTCTTTCTTTCTTTCTTTCTTTCTTTCTTTCTTTCTTTCTTCTTTCTCTCATTCCTTCCTCCCTTCCTCCCTCCATCCGTCCCTCCCTCCCTCCCTTCCTTCCTTCCTTCCTTCCTTTCTTCCTTCCTTCCTTCCCTCCTTCCTTTTCTTTCTTTCTTTTTTCTATTTTTTATTTTTTTGGGGGACAGAGTCTCACTCTGTCACCCAGGTTGGAGTCAGTAGCATTATCTTGGCTCACTGCAATCTCCGCTTCTCGGGTTCAAGCGATTGTCGTGCCTCGGCATCCTGAGTAGCTGGGATTACAGGTGCCTGGCACCATTCCTGGCTCATTTGTGTATTTTTAGTAGAGACGGGATTTTGCCATGTTGGCCAAGCTGGTCTCAAACTCCTGACCTCAAGTGATCCACCCACCTCGGCCGGACATTACAGGCATGAGCCACCGTGCCCAACAGTTTTCCCATTTTCAACTAAGCTCTCTACCACAGTGATGTTAGGCTTCATTGATTATCCAGTATAATACTGCTCAGGCTGCCTTAGCAAAATATGACAGACTAGGTGGCTGCAATGACAGACATTCATTTTATCAGTCATGGAGGCGGAAAGTCTCAGATCAAGGTGCCAGCAGGTTTGGTTTCTAGTGAGGTCTCTCTTGCTGGCTTGTAAACAGCTGCCTTCTGACTGTGGCCTTCCCTCTGTGTGCCTGTCCTACTGGCGTCTCCTCTGCTTCAAAGGGCACTATGCCTCTTGGTTAGGGCCACACCCTTGTGACCTCATTTATCTTTAATTACCTCCTGTAAAGTCCTATTTCCAAATACAGTCACCTGGGGGTTAGGGCTTCCAAACATGAATTCTAGGGGGATGTGGTTCAGTTCATAGCACACAGCAATCGTCTTCTAACTTGGAACCCTCCCAAAAGCAGGAATTCCTTGGCTGGGGTCTTACCTCATTGTCCTGGGCAAGTTGCTGCTAATAGGGTCACAACAGCCATGTGACAGCTTTGGTCAATACTAAAATAGGCAAAAAAGAAATTTAATTAGGATAGGCAAAAACATTAATTAGGCAAAAAATGTTAGGATGGTAGCTGTCTTTTGGAGGGAGGGACCGGAAGAGTGATGAGGCTTCTGAGAAGCTGTTTTTTGATCTGAGTGCTGGTTGCATGGCTGTGTTCAGTTTGTGCAAATTCATCAACCTGTATAATTATGACATGTGTCTTCTGTGTGAGTGTTGGTTCTAGTCACCCAGTGATGGGTAACAAATCACTGCAAAACTTGGTGGCTTAAAGCAACATTAACTTTTCTCATGAATCTGCAATTTGGGCAGAGCTTGGCAGGGATAACTTGTGTTCACTACTTTCATCATCAGCTGGGGCAGCTGAAAGTCTGGGGACTAGGATTATGTGACGCTTTCTCACTTCCATGTCTTCCAACTGATGCTGGCTAAAATGGAATTGAAACGGTGCTAGCTTTGGGTGAAACCTTAGTTGGGACTTTTGCCTAGAGCACCTACATGGGGCCTCCTCGTGTGGTCTGGGCTTCCCCACAACATGGCGACAGGGTTTTAAAGATGAGCATGGAGAGTCAGGTGGAAGCCATATTTTCTTTTATGACCTTGTCTCCGAAGTGTATAGTGTCACTAGACCTGAATTTTATTCGTCAAGGCAGCCACAAATGCCCATTCAATTTCAAAGGGAGGAAAAAATTTACTCTATCTCTGGCTAGGGAATGGCAAAATTCTGAAAGATTACTGGGGACCAGATATATTGCTGTGGCAAATTTTGAAAACAAAACAAAACAAAACATCCTGCTGTAATGTTGTACTTTAATAAGAAGTTTAAAATTTTAGGTACAATAAAAGTGTGGAAAAATGTAGCAGATTGTTGGAAAGAAACAAGTGGAGACAAATGACAAACCAGGCCAAAATCAAAAATTCTAAAGTCATATCACATCTCTTTATCCACTCTTGATCTTCTAAAAGCCTCTAACATTGTAAAAATCTTTGACATGTAACCATCTTACATGGAGTAAAATAGTAAACAAAAAGCCCTCAGCAACTCAATTGTGGCAGTAGGCAGGTTATTACATGGGGCTGGTTGCGACTTGTGTATTTTTTTTCCAGTCATTTGTAATCATAGTGGAAAAAAGGATCATTATCTACGAAATAAGAGGCTGTGGTGTCCAGGAAATGGAGCATGAAAATGATTTTGCTGTGATGTAGAGATTAGGCAGAACAACCCATGTGAATTAGTAAATGGCAGGCAAATACAGTACATTCAAGTGTAACTTCAGTGCAATTTCAAAGGATTTGTTACATGAAGAACTAGAAATTCTCCAAAGCAATATTAAATACTGATTTTTTTTTTTCCCAGAATGGAGCGGTAATTCCCTTGGAAGGATGTGAAAAGCTTTCCAATCTCAAGGTGATATCAGAGCTCATTCCCACTGAAACACTTGGATGCTCTTTCTCCAGCCATCATGCTCTCTTTTTTCCACTCAAGGTGATGCCCAAACATACTTGTGTCCAACTTTACCCCATGACATCATCCAAAAGCCAATCCATCCAGCTGTGCATTCAGGCTTAAAACTGATGATGCTCCATCTCTGTTTTCAGAAACTTTCTTGGCTCCTTCTTGCTCAATTTCCAGTTTATTCTGGGCTCCAGGCATGCATCATTGCACCTTCTGACTCTCCATTTTGTTATGCATGATCTGCCCTACTCCACCCTTTGAACTGGGGGCCAGACTTAGTTCTTCCATTTTGTGTCTCTGAGAAATGGATTTCTTTCTCTTTTTCTTTTCTTTTTTCTTTAGACGGAGTCTTGGTCTGTCGCCAGGCTGCAGTGCAGTGACGCAATCTCCACTCACTGCAACCTCTGCCACCCGGGTTCAAGTGATTCTCCTGCCTCAGCCTACCAAGTAGCTGAGACTACAGGCGCCCACCACTATGCCCGGCTAATTTTTGTATTTTTAGTAACGACAAGGTTTCATCATGTTGATCAGGACGGTCTCAGTCTCTTGACCTCGTGATCTGCCCGCCTCGGCCTCCCAAAGTGCTGGGATTACAGGTGTGAGCCACTGCGCCTGGCCAACAAATGGATTTCTTTTGCCCCAGGAGTTTGTATCCCTGGCCACTTTAAATAATTCTATCTACACGAGGGCTGGTACTTGGATCCCATCCTTAACATTCGTCTGAGAGGTCTACAACCCTAATATGAGACAGCAGGACCATCTGGGGTTACAACTTGCTCAGACTGGTTATGAATAGGGTGTACATTCTGGCTCAAACAGTGTGGAAGCCACTCAGGATAACCACACTGCTGACATCTTCATAGGTACCTCATCATAACAACATTTTAAGATTGAAATAGAATTTTAATGATTTTCAGAAAATAAGAGAATGCAGGTTTCCGCAGACACTGCAAGCCCCCTCAAGCTTAGGCAGTGGCCCTAACTCAGATCTCTCTTCCCTCTAGATCAACACAACTGGTAAGTCAGGTCTCAGCTCATATAACACATTCACTTCGACATCCCTAGGGCACGGTTTCTGGGTTCTCAGCTAATATTTGTTAAATGAATGAAAAACCGTCTGTGTATCTCTTTTATCATTAAGCGATTCAGACCCCAAAATTATATACCCTCAGAAAAAAAAGTTAAGTGTTGCCAAAATGGATTTATATTTGCACTGTATTTTTCATTCCAGTGGCAGCTCACAGTACCATTTGGTGCTGTAAGCATGAATGAAAATTGTGCAGGGCTTCTCACGGGCAGAATAATAAGTCACATCAGCTTTCCATCCAGACTGTATCCATCTGGGTCCTTCATCCTCATCTCCCAATAGCATGTACTCTTCTTACTCTGAAAAAGATGACAGCTATATTTGTGGTTCAGTTGAGTGAATTAGAGATAATTTCCCCTTTCTCTACACCAGCTGTTTTCTTAAGATCAAGAGGGTGGTAAATTCTCATTGTGTTCTCTTCTCAGCACAAGAGCACCCAACCTCAGGAATAGTCTCTTCTGCTTAAGAAGAGCAATCATTTGCCACTTGACTTTCCACTTCCTTCTGTCAGAGGGGGTCAGTATTTTTTAACCAACTGTGTGTCCATTGCTTCCCTGTCAGTATTTCATCATTACTAGGTTGACCTCTCTTAAGAACCTTTCTACTTCAAAAACATAGAGATGTATTAGAGAACGGGGTTAAGAAAGGCCACCGGAGGGATATATAATAAGGCATCATTAATGAACGCCAGTTAAAAATCTAACACACATTTTTATCTTTGAGTTCTTGGGGAAACTTTGAGAAGACACATTTGAATAAACAGCCCAAAGCCCTTGGAAAGAAGCACACATTAATTAATTCCTTAGACATTTATTGTGAGCCTATGAAGGGTAAGACCCCGTCTGTCTTGCTCCTGTCTTGCTCAGCAGTGGAGTTCATAACGGCACTTGCCTGGTTGGAGAGAGGTTTAAGCAGATGACAAGGAGGAAGTGCCTGGCGCAGGATAAGGGCTCAGGAATGGTCCAGGTTGTCCCCACTTGGAGCTTCAGGTAGATTCCAATCTCACAAAGTGGCAAAACAAAGCAAAACGACAACAAAGATTTTGTCCTAAGAAAAACACATTTTGCCTTAAGACAAAATATGGAAAATGCCATGTCTTTTCTCTGAGGTCAAACCTTGCCTTCTGGGAGGGCAAAGGTAAGGGAGGTTGTGCTAATCTGTTCTCACGCTGCTAATAAAGACACACCCGAGACTGGGTAATTTATAAAGGAAAGAGGCTTAATGGACTCACAGTTCCACATGTCTGGGAAGGCCTCGCCATCATGGCAGAAGACGAACAAAGAGCAAAGGTGCTTCTTACATGGTGGCCGGCGAGAGCGCATGTGCAGGGGAACTCCCCTTTATAAAACCATCAGATCTCATCAGACTTATTCACTATCATGAGAACAGCACAGGAACGATCCGCTCCCATGATTCAGTTACATCCCACTGGGTCCCTCCCACGACATGTGGGAATTATGGGAGCTACAATTCAAGATGAGATTTGGGTGGCGACACAGCCAAACCATATCACAGGTTATCTGTGCATCAGAGAGTCTCCTCATGGCCAAAGTTATATTTGTTCTAGGTGTTGAAGAAAAGGTAAAATTTCCATATGTATGGATGTGAGTAGGATGTTCTAGACTATAAACATAAAGTAGGGGTTTCAACCAGAGCCAACTGATATTTTACACTGCCTGGGTATGTCAGGGAAAGTGGAAGTCAATGCATTCCAAGGACTGAGGCGTTCCTGGGTGGTCTTTTATCTTAAGAGGTGAAAGAATGAGACATGGCGAGCCCTAACCATCCAATTGGAGTCATGATGAGATCACAACTGCATACCTAGAAAGACTGGTCTGCGGGATCTATAAGAGCTATTAAGGGGAGAGACTGAGAGTTGGGAAGGTGTAAGGAGGACATTGAGAAAGTTCAGGTCAGGAGTCATTACATCTTCTACTAGGGCTGTAGGCAAGGAACTTGGAGGGGTGAAATAGTGGCTGTAGAACTTGCATGTAGGAGGCACTTGGGGCTGGCATTTGGCTTGGAGGGATGCCTAGAAGACTTGGCTTGAAATGGGTGTGCGGAGCCACATCAAGACTCTTAGACTACATCTTGGTTATTTACAGAAGCTGTGTATGTGTATGGCGGGAAGTGCTCATGGAGAGATAATGAGGGTAGAATAAATCATCCCCAAGATACACTTTTAGCACTTTTACTAGAAAAGAGGGTGGAGATGAGTTTAAAATCGAAATCATTATCACTTTCAATGTCTTAATTAGCTTTCTGACTTCTCTTTCTTCCCTTGTAAAACGAGAAGAATTGAATGGATTTTATGCAATGTTACTTTAAACATTATGAGTCCACGGATTTCATACTTGTACCCCTTGAGAGTCTGTCAACTCTGTGGTTTGATTGGTAAGAATAGGTCTTGCCAATTTCTGTGGTTTGCATGGTTGCTACCAGAAGTTTCAGGAAGCCAGGGGACGGTTGTTGCTGTAGCTCTGAGGTGGTTTTTGTTTTGTTTTGTTTTCTGTTTTTTTTTTTTTTTTTGAGATGGAGTCTTGCTCTGTCACCCAGGCTGGAGTGCAGTGGTGTGATCTCGGCTCACTGCAAGCTCTGCCTCCCAGGATCACACCATTCTCCTGCCTCAGCCTCCCAAGTAGCTGGGGACTACAGGTGCCCACCACCACGCCTGGCTATTGTTTTTGTATTTTTAATAGAGATGGGGTTTCACCATGTTAGACAGGATGGTCTCGATCTCCTGACCTTGTGATCTGCCTGCCTCAGCCTCCCAAAGTGCTGGGATTACAGGCTTGAGCCCCTGTGCCTGGCCTCTTTTCTTTTCTTTTCAGATGGAGTCTCACTCTGTTGCCCAGGTTGGAGTGCAGTGGTGCGATCTTGGCTCACGGAAACCTCCGCCTCCTGGGTTCAAGCAATTCTCCTGCCTCGGCCTCCCAAATAGCTGGGACTACAGGTGCGTGCCACCAAACCCAGCTAATTTTTTATATTTTTAGTAGAGATGGGGTTTCACCATGTTAGCCAGGATGATCTTGATCTCCTGACCTTGTGATCCACCCGCTGGGATTACAGGCATGAGCCACTGCACCTGGCCTCTTTGAGGTAGATTTTCTAAGCATAACTTGCTGGGCTGTGCTTCCATAACCTCTATTTACCCAGAATTTCTTCTGTTTCCCTAAAATTCCTGGTGTCTCTGTGGAATACATAGTCTGTTTTATATTCCAAATTAAATTATAATCCGCTATGGTTTGAATATTTTTCCTTTCCAAAACTCATGGGAAATGGAGACATTTAATCCCAGTGTGACAGTATTGAGGGAAGGGGGCCTTTAAGAGATGATTAAATCACGAGGGTTCTGCCCTTATGAACTGATCAATTATTGGATTAATGGTTTAATGGGTCAATAGATTAATGGGTTATTACGGGAGAGGAACTGATGGCTTTATAAGAAGAGGAGGAAGGGAGACCTGAGCTAGGATGTTTACACACTAAGCCCCCTCTCCACATGCTCTGTGATGTCTTGGGAATCTGCAGAGTCCCCACTGTCAACAAGGCACTCACCAGATATAGATGCTCAATCTTGGTCTTCTCAACCTCCATCAGTATAAGAACGAAATTTATTTTCATATAAATTACTCAGTTTCAGATATTCTCTTATAGGCAACAGAAAATGGACTAAGAGTGGTTGCCACATAGAATGCACATGACCCATTGTAATAATATTTCATCCATATTTTCCCCTGGCAAATAATGTATAAGACAAGAGAAGTTTGTATTATATGCAAATAATTTCACAGTATCCTCTTGCCAAATCTGGAAGTTAAGGGGGCGGGGAGGTGCTCTGTAAGATTTTTAAATTCATAGGATCCAGTCCAAGGCAGGTTTTTAAGCTTTAGTCTTATGTATGTCTGGAGAGGGCAGGTGAAAGGTATAAACCTACTGATATCCTTCAATGTTTTTCTTATGAAAATACTTAGACATACAGAGAAGCTGAAATAATTGTACAGTGAATATCCATATACCTACCATCTGGATTCAACTGTTAACATTTTACTATATTTGCATTTTCACATCTCTACCCATCTATTTGTTCATCAATCTAGCTTATCTTTTTGTACAATATAAATTGCAGATATTAGAATGCGTCTGCCTAAATACTTCAAGCTTTCTGATTTTAATAACCTAATAATAAGAATTGATAACTTTCTTGAGCACTTACTATATTTCAGGTACTGAGCTAGACACTTTATACTTTATTACCTCATTTCCTTCTCACAATAATCCACAAAGCTAACATGATCTCCATTTGTCTCTTATCTCCATTGGGCAGATGTTGTTTGAACCCAGGTCTGCATGACTGTCAAATCATCCTCCAATAAACACAGTAAAACTCATGTCAAATGTTGGACAGCATTACTTGGCATTATCATGTTGCAAAACCCCAAACCAGTTACAGGATTAGGTTTGATTCTAGGCTGGAAATAGGCTTATCTTCTAAGTCAAGGATGGTTATAGACAAGACCTATGTTTAAAATGAATTGAAGAGGAAAAGTAACAAAAACAGACTAAGACCCAGAGTTCCAGGGAATCTGAGGCCATAATTAGCAAGGACGGATACAGGGTAAATACTAAGAAATTAGACATACATGTTGGAAGTCTCTTGGTATCCTTTTTTCTCTCTCCTCCACTCACTTGTAGTTCCAGTAATCTGTGCCTTAAATCTAAATGACATTCATAAGTGGAACAAGAGATGCCATCATATGATCAATAGGCACGTACCAAGATCAAGCTTCCAGATCAAAAAAGGTATAAGGCCAGTTATCCACCCTTTGAGACTGATCCTTCGGTAGAGAGATTTCACGTGGTAGAGAAAGTTATAGTTGTCTTCATACCCTTAGGCAACCCCTCACCATCCCCTACATCTTCCTAATTTCCTTGCAGTTAGATAGATTGGCATAAGAGTGGTT